ATATATATATATATATATACACACCTCAGTGACATCACTGGTATATAGTAAATAAAATCGCCACCTCAAATGTGTATACCTCAGTGACATCACTGGTATATAGTAAATAAAATGGCCGCATCACATATATATATACTTCAGTGACATCACTGGTATATAGTAAAAAGAATCTCCACCTCACATACGTATACCTCCGTGACATCACTGTTATATGGTAAACAATAATGCATCCTAACTGGTAGATCTAAAGGAGATTGTACAATCAGATTGCGATGTGCGTGGTGAGCTTTGGACAAGCAAAGATACCAGACCCACCAAAATCTCCATTTTAAAGCTTTGTATCCACAATATTTCATAAAACGATACTTTCCATCATTATTCCCGGTAACAAACAAACAAACCTTCACAAACATGTAAACAGAAGCATATTATTCACATTGTTGTTTACACATTGCAATACACAGCCCTCGTTCTCGCCATACATGCGCCAATCTGACAGATCGCTCGTTATAATACCAGACTGAACCTGCTCTGCCGCCATCTCCATCGACTTTGCGGCATTGAAAGATAAAATTGGTCGGGAAGTTCGGAACATTCCGGTGAACCATTTGCTCCAGAGACTTTTATTTATTTCGCCTCCACCATTTTTGAATCAAAAGGGCGCGCCATTTGTCGTTTTAGACCGACCGATGAACAAATCGATATCTTGCATCGCGACAGCAGATAGCGTTTGGTCGAACTGACTTTAGGGCCCATTCACACCAGAGCATTGCGCTAAATGCATCTTACGAGTTTAGTGCAGGCTGCCGCACAATGCCTCGGTTGGGCGTTCCAGTGCAACACGCGGACCGCAATGCCATGTGTTGCAGTGAGAGAAAAAAAAAACAGCACATGCGCGACTTTTTTCTCACCATGCCGCAACGTACAATATTGCGGTAGCGCACATTGTGCTGCAATGCATGGCCGCCAGGAGGTACACTGGGTGCCATTCAAATGCATAGCAATACGTTGCACCTCGTGCATGGCAAAGGGGGCGTGGAGACCTTCACGGGCAGTGCGTCTTACAATTTCCTCCCGCAATTCAACTGGCGAGGAAAAAAAAGTCATCTTCAGCCAATCGGCTCGCCTGTATAAGCCCGTGCGTCAGGACGCAAATTCCATTAAGTTCTTATGTGTGAGCTGATTGGCTGTCAGTCTTTCATCTCGCCGCACTCAAGCTCTTGCACACTGCATGCCAATGTCTGCGCCTCGGAGCTTTACTTTGCTGCTCGCGGCTTCACGTGCAGTTTGTCACGGGCTTTGTGTCATAGCGTGTGCTAAACGCACAGTAAAGTGTCATTCTGGTGTGAATGGGCCCTAAAAGCGATCGGATCGATGCAGTCAGATGTTATCGAATGGCAATCTGCAACACGCAACCAATAAAACGGTTGTATCGGACAATTGGCCAGACAAGTCGATGTGTATGGCCGGCAGAGCGCTGGGTGGAAATGACTGCACACCTGAGATTAGGATGAACATGGCGCACAGCTCCCGTTTACACTTCGGCGTTGCATGACGTGCGTTCCCACAACACAATAAAAACGTGGAAGGTGTTTGCGCTGCCCTTGCTTGTTGATGCTCCCTTTCCTGCATTTGCAGCCCATTGATTAAATAAAGTCATGCAGGGGAAAAACACACGCAAACGCACATTAAAGGAGAACTATGGGGTTAAGTCTTTTCCCCATAGTTCTCCTAAGGGTAACGGGAGGACACAAACTAGCGTCCTCCCGTCACCCTAAGCTCAGTATACCGCGAGCTACAGCTCACTATATACTGAGACGCCGCAGCCGGAGCGGATCCCGACATTGATGTCGAGATCCGCCTAGCTGCGTGAGTGACAGCTGGCTCCGCCTATCTAGAGGCAGAGCCAGCTGTACCCGCCCCCTCCCCCAGTCAGCGCTGGCGGATCGGAGCGGGGAATCCAGCCTGCAGTGGGCTGAACTTCCTGTAATAAAGTCCGCTCACTGTTACTCTTTCGCTTTGTGCAGGGTGACTGGTCTTGTTTCCACCCTCTCCTGTCGTTTCCTGTAGTAGGTGAAGCTTCCCGTAATAAAGACCGGTCACTACTGCGCTCTCTCTCTCTCCTTGTGCAGGGTGACTGGTCTTGTCTCCTCCCCTCCCTGTAGTTTTCTGAAGGCAGCCTATAGTGGGTGGGGCCAACTGGGCCCCTCCCACAGCTCTGCACAGGCTATGCACAGCACTGTGATGACGTCACTCCTACATTAGCATGATAATATCCGGGTATTTGGTGCACGCAAAGTGCATTTATATAATTTGTGGATATTGAAGAATATAAATTAAAGTTTTTAAAGGAGAACTATGGGGATAAGTCTTTTCCCCATAGTTCTCCTTAGGGTAACGGGAGGACACAAACTAGCGTCCTCCCGTCACCCTAAGCTCAGTATACCGCGAGCTACAGCTTGCGCTATACTGAGACGTCGCAGCTGAAGCGGATCCCGACAATTATGTCTGGATCCGCCTAGCTGCGTGACTGACAGCTGGCTCTGTCTATCTAGAGGCAGAGCCAGCTGTACCCGCCCCTCCCCCGTCCGTTCCTCCACTCAGCGCTGGCGGATCGGAGCGGGAGGGGGGAATCCAGCCCCTCCCCTGTCACAGCCCCTCCCCTGTGAGCGAACGCGGGTATGTGTTCGCTCACCTCCCGATCTACTGAGCCGACCTGTGACGGTCTCATTGTCACAGGTCGGCTAGAACTATGAGGTGAGTGAAAAGCACTCACCTCATAGTTCTCCTTAAGGCCCCGTTCACATATAGCGACATACCTTTTGCAGCGGATCCGCACGGCCGGGATAGCGCGACTTTCGGGGCGACGTTCCAGCGACGGTAGCGCGACCTTCCCCGTCGGGCTCCATAGAAAAAAAGTAAAATCGCGCAAAATCCGCCGAAAAAAGGGTCCGGTAGAAGCGACTTGCGACAGCGACGAGCGACATGGAGTTAAGACAGCTCCATTGAATAACATTGGCCGGCGACTTCTCGCGATATCGCGCGGCAAAAATGCGCGATATCGCGGCGGAAATCGCGCGACAATTCGCTATATGTGAACGGGGCCTTAATGCTACACACAGTGTGAACAGGGCCTCAGTGATGATCACATATTGTTACATTGTATCCATTGAGGAACAGAAACATAACAATAGGCTTCACCGGAGAAGGATCCTTTCTTTGTAAATACAGTGACAGTTATTCTCAATTCTCACATGACTGACAGTTATTTTCAGCTCAGTCCAATGATATTTGAGAATAACAGTCACATGACTGAAAATAAAGCTCCTTATCCTGGTGTTAAAGCTTTGTGAATGAAACTCATGGGGGGAATTTTACTAAGACCGGAGCAGACAGAATCTGGAGCGGACCGGAGATAGGAACCAATCAGCTTCTCTTCAGCTTGTTCAGTGAAGCATTGAAAATGAAAGCTGGGAGCTGATTGGTTGCCATGCACGGCTGCTTCAGTCTTCCTAATTCCCCCCCATGGTATCTTCCCATCCTTAGATATGGTGGCTGCATTTGTTTTCTTTTTTTCAGGCTGTTTTTCCTTTATTTGATCCTGCCGGTAACACACTTCCTGTCCGAGGGCTGGGCAACTCCGGCCCTTCAGCTGTTGTGGAACTACAAGTCCCAGGAGGCAATGCAAGACTCTGACAGCTACAGGCATGACACCCAGGGGCACCATGCGATGTGTAGCTAAACCACAGCTGGAGGGCCAGAGTTGCCCCCACAGTCCTAGGGTGACAACACTCACTGTACTATATCAGTGCAGAAGCAGCGTTGTCACTCTCAGCTGCTCTCTTGATTTGGACTACAAATACGCCCCCTCCCCTTCATTACATAGGCGGGAATTGCTTTGCAGTTCACAGACAATAGCTTGGAAAGCTGACAACATTGTTTGAAATGTCAGTTCAGCTCACAGGAAGTGACGAGGACACCACATTTCTGGCAGGGTCACCATTTCTTTTTTTTTTTTTAACCCTTAGGGCAGGGGTAGGCTGTGGTGACGCTACAAACCCCATCATGCCTGTGGCTGTCAGTCTTATAGAACTACAAGTCCCTTGAGGCTTTAGCAAGACTGAGAGACACAGGCACGACTCCCAGAGGCATGCTGGGATTTGTAGTTCCACCACCGCTGGAGGGCCAAGGCCCCTGCTTTAGGGCCTATTAGCACTACAAGACGCATGGACACCGCCATGGTGTGAATGGGCCCTCGTAGAGAAAACAAATGCAGCGGCCATATTGAAGGACGGGTCTCTTATGTTACAATGTATCTAAAGCGGGGACAGGCAACCTTAGCACTCCAGCAGTGCTTGAACTACAAATCCCATCATGCATCTGCCTCTGGGACACATGCCTGCAACTGTCAGTGTCTTGCAATGCCTCATGGGAGTTGTAGTTCCATAGCAGCTGGAGGGTCGGAGTTGCCCCCCACCCCTGATCTAAAGCCTCACTGGAGGTGACAGGAAGTGAGATATCACTGATGGGGAATAGAGAGAGACGGCTGTCCCTTATTATATAGAGGTTTCCTCTCACTTCCTGTTGTGTGTACGGGACAGGAAGTGAAGGCCATTCTCCTCCATGGGGCACTGGCAGTGTGTAACAAGACGCATGTTATAAATACAATTCTCTGTGTGACACGAGTGGCGGCTCATCTTAGTACATCTCATATAACAGGGTGGGGGATGGGAGGGGGACACACACACTGCGTCCATCAGGAGGAGGGGATCGGGGTGTCAGGTGACACGGCAGTTCATAGTGACAACGGGACATATTTTGTGTCTGCAAACCACAAACCGTGACACACACACAATGCTACACACAGCTCCAGCCCGTGTTCTCTCACACATATGCTGTACACCGGGGGCAGTTGATGGAGAAAAACATGCAGCACACAGGGGGCAGTTGATGGAGGGGACGGGCAGCACACAGGGGGCAGTTGATGGG